GACAATCTCGGCTTTTCAGTAAACTTCTTCGCCGCGTCAATTTGCAGTTGCAGTCCCTCAGGGGTGTCCGACATACCGACAAAATCATCCGCAAACAGCATTCCTGAAACCGACGTTTCCGTGTCCCCTACTTTTACTCCCTTCCGGACTGCCTCTACGACTTCCAACAGATCGTTGATGAACACCTGGAACAATGTTGGGGACAGCGTGCAACCTTGTGGGACCCCCTGCTCAATGTCGAAGAATTTTGACAGTTCTCCGTCTAGCATGACCGCGCTTTTCGTGCACTCTGTTCTCTTCTTCAGCACTCTCCACATTTTCCCCTTGATCCCGTACTTGGACAGTTGTTTCCACAGTCCGTTTCTCCTATAGATGGTGTCGTATGCCTTTTTCACGTCCAGGAAGAAGCAGTACGTCGGCTTTCCCGCCCTCTTTCTACCTTGGATGATTCTCCCTACCGTGAACACGTGATCCACGCACCCCCTCTTCTTTCGCGAACCTGCCTGGCCCTCACTTATGCTGTGTTCCTTCTCCAATACTCCCACTATCCTATCGTTCAGCAGCTTACAGAACACTTTTCCTCCTGTGTTCAACAGTGTGATCCCCCTGTAGTTTCCTGGGTCAGTCTTGTCTCCTTTCTGAAACAAGTTCACAACCACTACTTCCCTGAATCTACTTGGCGTGTACTCGTTTTTCCACACCCAATTGTAGTACCATCAGCTGGATTATCCCCTTCCCCCCAAACTTTATGAACTCGTTGACTATCCCATCCGCTCCTGCTGCTTTGTGGCACTTCAGCTTGTTCACACACGCCTCAACCTCGTCCTCAGTGAACTCCTTTTCTAGTTCTACGTTCCCAACGTCTGCCTTCGATGTCTCTTCTTCTTTTTGGGCCCATGCGTCCACCTCCTTCTTAAACGCTTGGTCAAAAGCTTCATTCTCCGAGGGCACTCCAAGTCTCTTGTAGTGTCCTGCTAGAACTTCCCTTTTTCCCTTCCCACTGCTGACTAATCCACCGTTCACACCTCGCAAAGTTGCGACCCCTGTATCCCCCCCTTGCGCGGTCTTTTTTACCATTCCACTAATCCCTTCCCACATCTGCTTGACGTTCCCCTCCAGGCCTCCGTTGGCCTTCTGCACTCCTTCGTCCCAAATGCACTTTTCCTTGTTTTTCACTAGTCCCTTCACCTGTTTTCTTTTGGCCCTGTACTGTTCCCAACTCTCCTCAGACGCCTCACTCAGGTACTGCTTGAAGACCTTGGACGTTCCCCTATTTCTTCTTACAGCTCGTCATCCCACCACTTAACCGATTACCCACGTCGTTCCACCTTCTTTCCCACTACTCTCTCTGCCGTTGCGTTCACTATGAACTCCCACCCTTCAATCACCCTGTCCCCTGCTGCTTGTACGTCTACCTGTTCGTCTTCGACGCTTCTCAGCAGCTTCCTGAAGGGTTCTACACTACCAGCCAGTCCCTTCTGGAATTCATCCTGTGTCCCCTCGTCTCCCAAACGCTCTACTTCCACCGGAACGCTTTCCTCTGTTTCTTACTGTCCATCTTTCTAGATCGATCGATGTTTGCCCATAAGAGGCAGTGGTCGGTCGAACCTATATCTATTGCACTTACGTGCAGCTCTGGGATCTGCGTGCTCCCCCTNTCGGGTCTAAGCGCTTTCTTGCCTTCCCTACCCACCGGTATTTCCCTAGTTTGCTTACCACGTCACCGAGGGGGGGGGGTTGGAGTTTTTTTTACTGGGCATGGTTGAGTCAACGTCTTCGTTTTTTCGTAGCATCGCCATGGAGGGTACGTGCGCCTCCGCAAAGACGTGTGGGTTTGCTTGGCAACAACAATTGAGAGGATGCCTTGCGGCAACAAAGGNTCCAGGTAGACATAGGCTTTCCTCGAACTCCGTTTTCACCACTACCTCCACCACGTCAAACAAGTGTTCCTTGACCAGAAATCTGACTCCCCCTCCCCCCTTTTCTTCGGGTCTAAGCGCTTTCTTGCCTTCCCTACCCACCGGTATTTCCCTAGTTTGCTTACCACGTCACCGAGGGGGGGGGGTTGGAGTTTTTTTTACTGGGCATGGTTGAGTCAACGTCTTCGTTTTTTCGTAGCATCGCCATGGAGGGTACGTGCGCCTCCGCAAAGACGTGTGGGTTTGCTTGGCAACAACAATTGAGAGGATGCCTTGCGGCAACAAAGGAGTATCAAGGGTAACATGTTTGAAAAACACCGAGACCGCTGTGGTTCACAGGCGAGTTTCTGCGCCTCCAACCTGCGTACATGCATGTCGTTTGGTGTTTGCCTGTTTGCAAGACTTGTTCTTGCAACCCAATACTACATTGCGTGTTGGCAGTAACTCGGAGGCACGCTTTGGGTTCCACCATTTTGGAGCCCCGCAATTTACGCCGTCTCCGCGCATGCTCACTCCAAGCGCAGGAATGTGTTGGCGATGGGACTCGACAAGACCCCAATTCTGAGTGGGGGTGTGCGCGTCCCCATCAGGTTTGCAACGTGGAGCAATGTTTCACCCACGTGGCGAAACTTATTTTGTATGATAGATACCAAAAGGAGTTTTTGTCGACCATCGCGGATTTGTCTGGCGTGCTTCAAACCAACATTATTTGTATGACAGTAACCCTGAACAACCAATTAAATACAGACACAGCATCGACGACAACAACGCGTACGATTCATAAGATCCTAATTGGGAAAATAAAGTCGAACATGCCCACACTTTTCATGCACTACCCAAAACAAGCACCTCCTAGACCTACCGTGCACCAGTCTCGTCCGCACATGATTCATGTCAACCCGGCACCAACACACACATAACCAGGACCCACGCACCGGCACATTATGAACCACCTGTACCCGGAAACTCATGGCGATAACGCTGAACACCGACACCCACAAAACATGGCAGCGAGAATCAAAATGTCACACATCACACCCTTTCCCTTGGATGCGCCGGCACCCTAGCACCAACACTCAAACGCTTCCGTCTAGCGCCCTCCGCCCTCCACAACGAGGTACCCCCCTCCCACGCGTCTCGTCCTACCGTGGAAGCGAGACCGCCACCTCGAGGCAGCGAGCCTACTTCTGCCGCCATCCGCCTATGTAGCCCCGAACCCTAACCCGCCCTTTTGTGTACCCACGACGGCCAGACTCGCCCCCCCGGGCCCCCCCCCCCCGCCGCACCATTCGCCCGCTTGTAGTAGCGACCTTTCCCCCATCCGACTCCATCCGCACCTATGTAGACCTGTCCCCACACCCCCCTCGTGCGCCCGCCACGCGATGCCGCCAGAGCTGGACACGTCCTTACGAATTCCTCCGTCGGTTGTAGTCCGGCCTTCACTGCTTCTTCAACTCCAGGGCCTTGCGGGTAGCCGCTCGGGCCGGGGTCTCACCGCTCCTCGAAGGGGGCTCCGTTCCCCATCCATCCGGCAAGGTGCGCTGGGTAGCACAGAGGGCCGGCTGGTTGATTCCGCTGCGGGAGTCCTCCTCTGAAAGCTGGATCGGCGCTACGTTCTCGACTTGCAGGAAGTTGTGCAGATGAGAAAGAGCTGTGATGAGATCCGCGCGTCCTGCGAGCTGCACGCGGAGAGGTCTCCACAGGATGCCGAAGCTCTGCTCGATCTTGACACAAAGCTGGCTCAGGTGGAAGTTGAACGAGTCCTCGCCCGCCGGTAGTTGCCTCCCAGGGTACGGAGTCAGAACCTTTTCTCCGATGGGGTAGGCGGCGTCACCAATGATGTCAAATCCGGCGGGCAAGCGGGCGACGGCCTTGGCGAGGGACGATCGATTCCATGCCACCGAGTCCTTCGTCGAGCCTGGAGAGATCGCCGACATTGCGCAGAACCGGTTGTCGGCGGTGCACATCGCTTGCACATTGATGCCGTACGCGGACTTGCTGCCAGAGTAGTACGCGATGACGCTGGCGGTCTTTTTTCGCACACGGAGCCTTGACCTTGATGAACAGACCATCCACGGTGGCGACGACCCACGAGAAAACGCCATCGTTGCTCTTGTCCTGCATTTGTAGGCGACAGACACGATGGCGGGAAAGTAGTACCGGGAGATACAAAGAAATAAGTCGAGAGATACGTTGTGTGGGTTGGTGTCATCGGCGACGGCGCAATCACAAGTAAAGAACGGTGCGCATACCGTGTGAGCTGAGACTAGATGTTGTTTGCTAATCCTATTGTCGCGTCAGGTACAGCGGGAAAAAGGTACCAAAGCATCTTAGAGCCACGGAGGGGACTACAGTACATTGATTCCACACTCTTGTCTCGCTGAAAGCTGTTGCGGGGCCGAACCAACATGGCCAGCATACACAATTGATGTCAGTAAAGTAACATCTAGACTATGTGACAAAGGACGCCAAAAGCTGGCGAACCACCTGGAACCCGGGGGGTCTTTTTGCGATTCGAAGCATGCTGACAACGACGACAACCCGAACTTGTACCCGCACTTTCTACATGCGGTACGACCGCCGCCAGCCGTGCCGTTGATCGAGGTCCGCCTCGTGTTGGGCGCACGGAAGTCTCTTGGGCTCGAAGATGGGCTGCCGTTCCTGATTGCAGTGGGCACGATGAGCGTCTCCTGCTGCCACGACGCCCGCCGCCACTACTACGGCCCTCAGAAGACGCAGGACCGTGAATCTCTTGTCTTCCTGGGCTGCATTCTCCTCGTCGATAGCTCGTCGACGGCGCTTCTCGCGGCGTTGCGCTGCGGGGTCCTTGGGATCCTGGCGCTTCCCGCGCTCAGCCATGGTGGTCGACTTGCCGTGGGAGGCACTTTGGGGTGTTGCTGGCGCTGTTTAGGTGTGGTGTGATGAAGGCAGCACGCGTGACCGGTGTCTGCTTCGGCTGCCCGGAAAAAGCGGGGCGATTCTCCCCGGAACCGTAAAAGGAGCAAGCCCCAAAAAATCCCGGCTCCCTCTTTATACGTTTTCGGGGAAAAACGCCTCCATACAAGTATATGTTCAAGAAAAAACGGTATCGTGAAATGTTTCGTGATTTTTTTGGTCGTTAATAATACCCCTTAGAACCCACCGCGCTAACCGGCTGACCAATGAAAAGGCGTCAGTCTCAATGCGGTTGAATGCACAATACACTTGTGTCTGCCATGAACTGGGACCCCGTGAGGGGGCACCATAGGGGCTAAACTATCCTTCGGATCAAAGACTGTGTGTGAGTGTGTGTTTTCGTCGTCGTACTTCGTAGTATTAATCATGGCGACAGTCCCCCCATTTTCCGTGATGAGACGAGTACTACACTCTTTCAGTGAATGTAGAGTACTACAGTATTACACTTTCCAGTACAAGGACCCCAAGGTGACGGCGGACATGATCAAGATCGGGACACAAGTGGAGTACACGGGCAAGAAGGGCAGGTCGGCGGGGAAGCAGACGACGGTGGTGACGGACGCGGAGGCC